ATTCATTTGCAAAAAAAAACCCTGGAAAACCACACATTTTTTTACAAAATTTCAGGATTTTTCTTTTGAATTTTTGTAAATTGTGAAAAAGATTTTTGGAAACTTTTTTCTTTTTATTTTAAAAATCTTGGTTTTTTGAAGTTTCTGCTCATTTCAGTTCAGTATTAAAATTATTTTTGTCCATTAGGACTGCGGTATTTCGAAGTTTTTTTTTATAAAATGTGAAACATACATGTATATAAATCATATGAGTCATGCGTTTATGAAACAAGACGGTTTAAGATCAAGATTATTCTCTGAATGTTTGATACATATACATGTATTTATACTTAGTTGATAGCAATACGGAATAACTATATCATATTTTGTAATGAACTCTTAGGTTAGTAATTTAAGTATTCCCATGTATAAATGTTGAATTCTGCTTAAGCCGGTGCAAGGGGGCGTGGACGTTAACTTGCACCTTTCAGTATCGTCTTTGAACAACCTGCAACATTTTCAGTTTTGTCGTTTTGGGCGTTGTTTAGAGATTCATTTTTTTCTGTATTATATCGTTCATAAGTATGTATTCAAAAAATTAAACTGGTCAAGAACGGCAAGGGCTTTCAGGTAATTCAATGTAATACTGCTTACTAATCAATATTAACCAATTAAGTGTTTGAAATTGTTTTTATAATTTCATAATTTAGACTGATTAAATTTAGCGTATTTGCTTAAGTTAGTGTGTTAAGAATTTTGAAATACTGCAATTCTTTTGGACGAAAAACAATAATAAACACTAAACATATGTTTAGAGACAATGTCTATTGAAATAGTATCATGTCACGATAATAAGTAGAAATAAATGTAAGATTACGTCATACATTCTTTTTTATATAAAACTTTAAAACATTATATAAACACTTTCAGCTACTTAACGCTTACATTTATTTATAACCATACATTTCTTATTATTAAAAAAACTAGATATACTGTAGGTCTTCTTGCTTTCAAGAAATTAGAATCCTCCTTTTAAACGTGAACAGCACTTATTTTCAAACAAGAATAACCCTTCAGACGAAGCCATCTGTCACAATTGAAATCTACTTTCAGAAAACGAAAAAAAATAATCTTTTGCACATATAATATATATTACCTGCCTTGTTTGTACTATATTTGTATGAAATTAATTGTAAATAAAATAACTTTATATAACCTTTACGGTGAAATGAGTCATCAAAGTTAATCAATCTGCTTAGTTTCTATGTAGCAAGGCATATTTTAATTGGATATCTACCATCAGGTCAGAAACAATTAATTTTCAGCCTGTTACCCTACCCTTGTCATTAATTTGGATCGCATTGTCCGATATGAGTTTCTCAGAATACGATAAAACATGTGAAAAAATCCAGATGGACACCCATAATCTGAACGAAATCATTTTTAGGAACCATTTTAGTCGCCTTTATATTAGTAATTGCTTGTGGGCGTTATAATAGAAATGCATCATTTTAATTTGAATACATTGATAACTTGTTTGTTCGTTTCTTTCTTTTTTCATTTCATGTTTAAGGGTTGTTTTAATTGTTTTGGGTTTTGTTTTTCTTTGTTTTGATTTTTTTCTGTTTGATTTTATTACCAGCTTACATGTCATAGCCAATATATTTATATTATACTTACAGGAAATTTCGGAACAGAAAAACTGTTAAATGAAATTAGATAAATACTTGAATAGATTGTTTCACATTTATCATCACACGTGAAAATAAACATACAATATATGAAAACATGTTGATTCTATTGTCATTAAATTTTTCATTTTCAATAAGTTTTGTTGATTTAGTTTATAGATGACTAATTTCTAATATCTAATTTGATATTGAATCAAAGCGATGAAAGCACCCAAAGCGACATACAAGAATGCTGTTGATTACTTAAAGTAGCATAATATAACACGTTTACCAAAAAGATAACGACCATATACCAAGGAAATCATACACAAGAAAAAAAATAAATTCGTCAAAAACTATAAAACGTACATTTAGATACTCGTATTTTTTGTTTTCTTTGTAATAACTATCTTACTGTCAAGTTACATGTATGTATTTATAATTTAAATGCAAAGTTAGATTTTCGCCGAAGGTATTGCCACACTTACCGAACTTTCTGATATCATTTATCGAAAGGGGGACTATAAAGTAATTTACTTCTTTGCCAGGCGAAAATGCTTACGTATCAATTGTATTAATTTGATAACAGCCTTAGATACAGTGGAAAGCAATCTCGTGTCTGTGACTTTAGGCAAATAAACGTCTTACAAAAGAAAGCAGATGCTATATCAAAGATTTTGACAAAATTTGTTCCAGGCACTAGACTTAATCAGAAAATGTTTGAATCAAATTTAGTTCACATCGTTTAATTTTTAGTTTTTTACTTATTTTAATATACATGTATATGTTTTCGCTAAAATAGCCTGCTTTCATAGTAACTTGATAGGTGTCTGCTGTATATAACCAAATAATCCCTGACAATAGTCAATTATTTTGTCAACTATCTCGTTCAAGTGTTTTCATATATTTATTTAGTTTTTATAAAACCCCCAAAATATTTATAACAGCCTCCGGAATAAGTTTGCAAATCCGGAATTTTCGCAAACTCAGCTACCTTTTTTAAATTGATTAGAGAAAAAATTGAAAGACCGGTCAATAATAGAGATAGAGTCGAGTAAAACCTGACCTTTGAAATGACGATACCCTTAAAATTAAATGCAGGGGAGACATTCAAAGTTGGCCGTCCCATGGGGTTTTTCGATTCCCCCATTGGGGTTTTGGCCCCCCAGTTGGAGTTTCATGGGGTTTCATTTCCACTTTACAGGAATGAGAGAAAATAATTGTTGGAGATTTTTTTAGATTTTGTTTGATGTATTGATAATATTATCGAATATAAATGCATCTAAAATATTTTAGCAACATTTTCAAGGAATTTGGATTTCTCCCATTGGTGGTTTTCACCTAACATGGTAATGAGGGGAAACTCCCGTTATCAGAATGGGAGATGAAAATCTCCCATCATCCGAATGGGATACTTTTGGAATTGGGGTTTCTCCCGTTTAAGTGTTATTGGGAAATTTTCCCATTTAAGGGCAATGGGAGAATACACACATGGGAGAATTCGCCCGTATTGGGGACTGTTTTCAATTTCTTACTTGTAACATATTTTTTATTTTTTATTTTTAATAAAATAACATTTATTCGTTATTTAAAAATAATATAAAAAATGATACGCCGGGTCTTTTAATTTTATTTCAAACATTTTCACACAGTCAAACATTTATTACATACAATCATTAGTTACATAATAAACAATGCTGAATTGCGTCGATAGCGCTTATTTCTATTCGCCAATAAATTATAAGTACAGTACCGTGTAATACAATGCAAGCGTCTGATAAATTAGATCATGACTAGATTTTAAGTCTTTTAAAGTAAAAATGTTGGGAGAATAAAGTCAATACTCGGCACAATACCAGCGATACCTTGTGATGTATGGGAAACTTTATCAAAGATGTAGATAACTCTTATCTTTGCTCTGACTTTATTAGTCACTTTCCTCGAGTTCTAATTTCTGGCCCATCCGCTCCGGTATTAGTCCTAATTATAAGACCTATACGTAACCTATTTCATATTTATCATTCATTAATCTGATATTTTACATTTTTCATTTTCCATGTTACGTTAGGTCTTAACAGATCTTTGCAAAATCGTGTAGCAAAAAAATTGACATTAGACATCGATTTAGATCTAATGCATTTTAACAATTAAAACAGCGTGTATTTACATAAATTTTGAACTATTTATGAACAAAACTAAAAATTAAATACCTTTCAACAAAATAATTGAACTGTCACACCCGAAAAGTCATGATTAAATCCTCTCATTTAATTAAATTCCATGTACAGCAGATATACAAATGGCCGCCATACAGTGCGCGAAATCTGATTGGCTAATTTCAAATGCAAGCGTTTAAAATGACTCCAGAAGTTTCTAACGGAATATTTTTTCAACGAAATAATTGCCCATGCACCGTCAGTGTGTTCGAAAATATTTTTCCGTTCAAAAAATTGGAATCAATCTGTAAAACGCTTTACTTAACCAGTATGGCCGATGAGCGAAATAGATTGATATTTATATTTTATTTTTAATAAATAAGTACATTGTTTGAAACTTTTTGTTAATGATAGACCATGCAATTGAAAGAACAGAAGATAAGCTTTTGAATAAAGCTTGAAAGGCAAGTCAACAGACATTTTTTTGATTTTTCAAAATGCTACGCGTTTTTGACCAATAACTATTAGACGTCAGGCTTGACCAACATAAAACTATAACAAGCCTGTAACGTCTAATCTATTGGACTAAACATTTTATGTTGACATACAGTTTCTATTGATACATTAATGTACAAAATGTCAAGTGGTAGCTTATAATGTTTATTACTAAGTAATGAAAAGTGCTAAACTTTTGCTATTATTTGAAAGTTACTTTGAAAAAAAAACAACTTTAGTTTCCATTCATTATCTCCCCAACAGTTGAACAATGCAATTCAAATTTAATGTATATATACATCAAAGGAAAGAATTATGCAGGTCAAGTTAGAATTTGGTCATGGTTCAATGATTTTACAGAGTTATCCCTCTTAAACTCTGAAAACCAAAAGCAATTTTCTGTTTCCATTCATTATCTCCCAATAAGTTATACACATTCAACACAATTGGACATATAGAAACATAATAGAAATAAGTAGGTGCAAGCAGTTCAAATTTCGTCTTGGTTCGATGATTTTACACAAAATTATTCCTCTCCAACATTTGAAAAAAAAAAATTCAGTTTTTGTAGAAATGTATGTATAAGGTGCAGGTATTTAACCAAAAAAATCAGGTCAAGTTTAAATTTGGTTTTTAGTCTGATGATTTCAAAGTTATCCTTCTTGAACTAAATTACAGTTCTGCTTTTGTAGGAATGTATGTTAGAGGATGACATGTGCAGGTGCTGGTACTTTACCAGAAAATAAATGTCAAGTTCTAATTTGGTCATGGTCAGATGATTTTTGACAGTTATCTTTACACACTCATATGTACACAATGTTATCAATCTTTTTCTCTTTATTAGGGAAAAGGTGCACAAGCCAGATGTACACCATGCATTAATATGGAAACTGTCCTTATGAACATGAAACTGCCAAAAGATATCAGGAAGGAAATAGAAGAGAAAAGGAGACTACATCTGAATCTTCAGTCGTATGTATTTAAAATGCCAACATTTTAATTGTGCTAATTTCAAAAAATTTCTAATTTTTTTTAATAATATCAGTGTATTTATAAATTTTATTTTCCCAATTGACATGTTAATTATGTAGTATAAGTATTAGTTTGTTCACCTTGTACATAGCATTTAAATCAAATGTATGCATTTTTACAAAAAACAAAAGTAAGATATTGTTACAGGTAAAGAGAGGTATTGTTACAGTCCCCCAATCCCCCCTCATAGATATACACTGATTCCAAGGTTATTATGATTAATAGCTGTTTCGATTGTAGAAATGATTGCCATTTGGAATTCCCATCCCCATTCTTTTTTAAATGTATTCCTCTAGAATATCTCACATAAAAAATGGTCTTTCTATTTGTCAAAAACTATAAAATGCCCTGTACACTCAAAGATCAAGGGACTGACACTGTGAAACTGTTGCTACATACATAATGTAATGAATAAATCAGCACTTCTAATTCATCATTTATTATGAAAGTAGGTATTCAACATAGATTTATCTATTATAAATAAAAAAAATCACATTCATCATAAACATATTATTCTCAAGTGTTTCTGACTCAAATATGCAACCTGACTGTGTTGATAACTACAGGCATTGGAGACAACTTGGTTATAACAATATATTGATTGCCTGTCCCCTGAATATCAACTTATGCCTAGTTAACTATATATTCTCTTCTGATTATAAATTTCAAGAAAAATAATTCTGATTTTATTGTGTTACAGTATTTGTCGTTCAAAGTACTACAAACACATAAAGAAGGCATGTGAATCCCCTGACAAATATGTGAGCCTGATTATTGACAATATGGATCAAGCAAAAACAAGACTGCCAACATTTTCTTCAAATTCAAAGGTAAGAGCCCAAGTAATAATCTTTTAAAACCATAAGTATAAACTAAAACAAACAAAAACTTATTCTGATTTTAGAAAAAGTAAAAAAAGTCAAGTGTTTCCCCTGTGACAGGCTGTTTCTTTTGTTTTGATTCAGTTTTCGCCACCAATTCTTAACAAGAAAAATAATTAACTTACAGGGAGACATTGATGTTTTATAATATCTATTTTGAAAGAAGAGTTTTCGAAAATACAACTAAGGGATTTATTGGACTTGGAAATTGAAAAATGAAGGCAAGAAGTAGTATGGATTTGATAAGGATTTTTATGATGCAAGAAATAAAAAGATGGTTTAAAATCCAATAATTTATTATGGAATTTCAAATGTTGCAAGGTCTAAAGGTTATTTGGTTAGATTTTATAAAGTGAAAAATAAAAAGAAATACAAATGATTATATAATCATTACATGGAATACAATTGATGTCATGTTTTTGATAAATTAATGTTATTTAGCTACACACATTATCATCAAATTAAAGTTTTATTGACTTACAATTTACAAAAATACCAGTAAGCAAAATATAGTGTTTGAATGTTAATTAAGTCTGACTAACAGTCATGTAACATGAATCCAATTTGTTCAGCATTGAAGCCCTTAGGAACATGAACTGTTTACAGTATGTTTATATTGTGAACACAAAGTTCTATATGAGAGTCTTTAGTATGGACAAGATATTCAAGAAAGACAGGAACATTTTTGTTACCTGATCAATATTATTGTATTCAAGAAAATACAGTTTAAGACATTTTAATTTCAGGTTGAGGCACATTTGCACAAAGTTCAACACCATGTTACAGGTGTGAAGGCACATCATCTTGGAAAAACATTTATTTTAACATGGACAGATCAGTTCCACCCAGATTGCAATATAACAATCAATGCCTTGATCTACACACTTCATGAAATTAGTCTGGTAATTAAAGTTGCTTTTATTTCTAGAAAAAGGAATATTGCATGATAATTGATTTAAATCACACTAAAAGGATCTTACACCAGCTGCCTGTACAAATCGAAATATCTGGTTTCAGGGTAACTGTTCACAGCGTTAACGAGGCGCTACTGAGTGTCCACTAAACAGTTAGCCGAGAGCTGGATATTCCTGTCTGTGATGACAGCCGCGTTTGATTCTATATCTTGCATATTTACAAATCAATGATATTTCGAAAAAAGAAATAACTAAAACTAAAATTTTTGCCTAGCACTTTTCTCTTATAATAGCATATGTATAAACAACTTCATTCATAACGGAAAAATGATGCCATCCTTTGAACGCAATTCATTTACAAAAGGCATGTGGGAATGACTTCATTTAAGACATGAAACATACATTGGGATGTAAGGCAGGTTTTTCTAGCACAGTTGTAAAGAGTAGATAATCCTTTCTGATGTGCAAAACTCAATGATTAAATGGACAGTCGAATATATGCTATAAAACTACACATTTGAAACATCGCTTTCCATTGCATATTTGTGATCTTTATATAATTTATATACACAGCTATTGTCTACTTATAAATTAATTTCTTTTTTTCTCAAATAATGGAAGTATGCTTTTAATAAATTTATAGACTTGTGATTCAGATTCTTGATAGGTTATATGACCTTATGTAAACAGTTATATTTGATAATCACTTTCATATGAATATACTTTTCTGTTTGGTTGTATCAAGTTGATTTTGTAAAGTTGTAATACTAAAGTCCTTTGGGTGACTCAGGAAACAACTTTTTGTTATCAAAAGGAGATATGATTCATTAGAATAGCAATCTTATTGTAGGCAAATTTATTAACAGAAAAAGAAAATCAAACAGTCAGTTTCTTGGCAAATTTATTTATTGTTGCAAATTCTTTTTAATGTAATATAGTTAAAGTTAAAGAAACATTATTGACTGTTAGACTTGATAAACAAAAATAAACCAGTTGATGCTCTCAATACTGTGTAAATAACTATCTAATATTACACTAAACATTTACAATATCTTCATATAGTTTTTTAGCTATTTAAGTAAACTGAAGTAGCATATCTTACATAATAAAATAAAATAAAACCTGGGTTATGTTTTATCCATGTTGGTGTTATCCCTGATAATTACATGGATATAGTGCTTACCTGTCTTTTACAACCATGCAAGCTTAGTTTAATTGCTCATATCTTTTACTTCTAAAATGGTCTTGTAACATGATTGATAATGAGCAAATAATATATGATAAGATGATATTAGAGATGATAATTGTAATTAAAACTTCATGGAGTATTTGGTTTTAAAATTAAGTGCTTTTTGTTTTGGTTGTTACCTTATTGTAATTATTTCAGATAAATGGAGGAATGCTACCACCAACTCTATATATTCAAGCTGACAATTCTGCAAAGGATAACAAAAACGCATTCTTTTTGACATTTCTAGCATGGTTGGTGAAGACAGGGATATTTAAAAAGGTGATTATATTTTTGTCGAATTGCGTTAAAGTGTAATTCTGGAAAACCGTAGAGGGCTTACCATTTCAATTTTTTTTTAAAATTACATATGACCTTAGACAAGTTCCACTGACATATGCCCTTAGACAAGTTCCTCCTGGTTATTTGCCCCCTGAAGATTTTGAAAAAACTGACGTTTGCCCTATGTGTTAAATTTGCCGTATGAATATTGAATGAATTACTAGAATTACTGACATTATTTCCTTTCTTTTCTTTTTTTTAAAATCACTTTACCTTCTTTTTATATTATACAAAAGGTTTAAATAACATTTAAAGACTTCTTTTACAATGCATATAATATATGATCAGCATGTTGGGTTTTTTTTGGGGGGGGGGAGAAAAAATTTAGCCATTGCTACGGTTTAGTTGTTGTTCCCATTACCTTTGCTGTTGCAGTTGCCCAGCAGAAACTATAACAATACATTTGCCTGTCTTTAAATTGTCTTTATACAAAACCTGTTGAACAAGATTTTCTAGTAAACCAGGTTGATCTTGACTCCAATGACAATGACCTTCAAGGTCAAATGTTTTATATTTGTTAGATTTCTGCTGTAATAGGCTAAACATTTGTTATGCATGAAATTGTTTTCATACTTTGACACAACAATTCTTTAAACACAACCTTCATGTTCAATATAATTTGTCCAAAACTACGAGCGAGGTTAATTTTGCGGTGATGAAAATGACAATACCATTGGGTCTGTAAGACATTTGCGTATTTTATTTTTTTAAAATAGGTTTCGATACGCATTCTAAATGAGTATTTTATAAAATTAATTGCATAAATATGCATATACACCGCCTTATCTGTTGCTCTGCTACAACACTAGGGATACAAACTTATTGTTTTTAACTTTTATCTATAATTCTAGGTGAAGCTATCATTTCTAATGGTGGGGCATACTCATGAGGACATCGATCAAGTGTTTTCAAGAATAAGTTGCCACATGAAACATGTAGATGCCCCAACATTACCGGCTCTCCTACATGCAATTGGTGATTCAACAACACCTTCACCACAAGTTGTAAATCTGGAAGGCATATACAACTACAAGGCAACTTTAGAAAATGTTAGAGGAATGATTGAAGGAATATCAGGGCCTCATCAGTTCATGATAAAGAAGAAAGAGGGGAAGGTAATTCTTCACTATAAGGACTGGCCTATAGACAAAGCTACAGACCTTAGATATTATCTGAGAGAATTCCGCAATGACCTTGTTTCTGATAAAAGCACAGGATTTTCTACACTTATGAACCTTCCTAGAAATCGAGAAAGTGGAGCGAGTGTCAAATAGAAACTATGCAATTGAGGAGCGGAAACCTAGTGTGAGCACTAAACAATGGTGAATAATAACAAGCGTGTACAGGGCGTAGGAACTTCGAGGATGGAGGCTTATAACTTGGTGGAGGAAATTTATTTAAACTGCGAGAAAGGTGATGAAGCCTAATGTTTAGCCAAAGGTGAAAATGTCTCTCCACAAAGCTATAAGCCACCCTGTCTCAACGACAATCAACCTCACGACTATTCTACTTCCACTATTTGCATAAAGCCTGTCCGGTGCATTCACAATGCAAATTCAATTTACGCAGAGTGTATATACAAAGGAGTTATAATCGAGAATTTAGTAGTCACGATAATTAATATAAACTGAAACGGGAGGAAAGTGTGTAAAAAAACCACCAGGAAGTGAATATAATCTGTGGTCCTCTCTGATAACAAGTGGTGAAGGTTTTGGCGCTGTCTGTACTCGCAGTAATATGTACTCGAGGAGGATTTCTCTCTCATGATGAACATGGGAACAAAATGTTGAATTTTCAGTATCATAGTACTTTCATGAATTCCTCTTCATGTTTTATAATTATGGTCTTGTACTCTTTTGAGTTATACGGCCAATGGGTCCTTATAAGAGATGAAGAAACTTTAAAAACCGTTCACCATCCATGAACCATCATGTTGTTGTATCAACTAATATATCATTGTTAAGTTAATAAACTATTTATCTAGATTGTTTATCGTCTAAGAATCATGGACGTGACTCCTGTGATATTTTACAGCTATATTTAAATTTTTGCAGCCACTAAATGACAATTCTTTTTGTACAATCAGAAGCTTAGGTTAATCTATTTATATATAGATTTTGTTGAGTTTAAGTCACTGGTCATTATTGAAAACATGTATTTTTTTATTTTTTTTATTTATTTTTATAGACTAAGGTAATTTCAATATCTGAAGTTTGTTCGGCTACAAAAAGTTTGTTTCTTGACATCCATGTCAGTAAATAGTAAGATTAATTGTGTCGCCTTCTACAGGTTACTAGTGGTGATATATATATATAGGGATCACTTCCCCTTTGTTCGTCTGTCATAAAAATGATCTAGGCTATTATTCAAAAACTTCTTGTGCAATTTTATCCAAACTTTACGGGAATGATCAGTTCCACTCAGCATTGTTCAGTTATAGACCTTTAATGATTTTTATTTTAAAAGCTTGTACGTACCACTTATCTTATACCAATATGTAATTGGGATGAAACTTAAAGCAGCACGCCTCAGGATTCATGCTAATTTTCAGGAAAATTTTGAAAATGTATTTGAATACATGTGTAATATTGTGAAGTAACCAAAAGGAAGCAATTTACACATAATCAGTGGCACTTAAACCACATAAATTACCAAAAACTGGTCAAAATATGCATTAATAGTCTTTACTGTGTTAGCAACCCGCAGAGGAAATATACGTTAATATATATTAATATTTCGACTTAGAATTTATGTTAAAGTTTTTGTAATACCTCAAATATTTTCAAAGTCCATTGACAGTAGAAATATAGATGTAAATACTAAAAAAACAGTCGATAATGGCACATAATATGTAAAATATTTCTTGAAACTTTTTACTTTCCCTTACATCTTAGTGAAAAATTTTTTCCCCAAGTTTGTTTTTTAATTGTATTTTTTTTGGATTTCTTTTGGGGAAAGCATAAGTTTTTAAAGGATTTGATGGGAAATTTCAAATACTTGATGGTTTTTCCCAAGTTAAAAAATTTTTTGGCTGAGTTAGGGCCCTTTTTTTAAAAGAAGGGGGTTTGGGCATTTTTTAAATGATTTTTTAACTCAACAAATTCGATAAGAATAAGTGAGTTTATTGTATCAACTGAGCGTGGGCCCGTAACCATTTAAATTTTTAATTTTTTTGTAAATACCTCAAAATTTTTTTTCAAATTTCCTTGGGGACATAGGGGCCTTTAAATTTTTTGCCCCAACTTCCCTCCCCAATTATAAAACCCCGACCTGTAGAAAAGGGGAAAAAATAACTGTATCAAGTTTTTGCCCAAAATTTATCCCCTTTTTTCCCGACTTAAAATTACTTTAAAAATTTTTTGAAAACACGCTTCAAAATATTTTTCAAGTCCATTGACATATGGCTTTGAAACTTTGCACAATTGTTCACCATCATAACCCCAACCTGTAGACAGGAGGAGGTAACTTTATCAAGCATTTTGACAGAATTATGCTCCTTTTTGGACTTAGAATTTACCACCTCAGATATTTTCATATTCTATTGACATCTGGCTTTGAAACAAGTTGCAATTTTATTAACTAGGTTTTCCGAAGGAAAAAACTGGTTATTAGATTGAGGTATGTCGGCGGGCGGGCGGATGGGCGGGCGGGCGGACGGGCGGGCGGGCGGGCGTAAACAATTTCTTCTGTGCGCAACTCCTCCTACATTTCTCATCGGATTTTGACCAAACTTTCACAGAAGCCCTGTCATCAAGTGCCCTGGCGCATATTGTCGGGTTTTTGCGATTAGATAATATTTGACCTAATTATGGCCCTTTGTTTTTTTTCCTTATATAAAATATATAGTGAACAATTTCTTCTGTGCGCAACTCCTCCTACATTTCTCAACGGATTTTGACCAAACTTTCACAGAAGCTTTGTCATCAAGTGCCCTGTCACATATTGCCAGGGTTTTGCAATTGGTATATATTTGACCTAATTATGGCCCTTTGTTTTTTTTCCTTATATAGAATATATAGTGAACAATTTCTTCTGTGCGCAAACTCCTCCTACATTTCTCAACGGATTTTGACCAAACTTTCTAAGAAGCTTTGTTATCAAGTGCCTGGCACATATTGTCGGGGTTTTGTGATTGGATAATATTTGACCGAATTATGGCCCTTTGTATATTTTGTCCTTATACAGAATATATAGAGAGAACAATTTCTTCTGTGCTCAACTCCTCCTACATTTCTCAACGGATTTTGACCAAACTTTCTTAGAAGCTTTGTTATCAAGTGCCTGGCACATATTGTCAGGGTTTTGTGATTGGATAATATTTGACCGAATTATGGCCCTTTGTATATTTTTTCCTTATACAGAATATATAGTGAACAATTTCTACAGTGCGCAACTTCTCCTACATTTCTCAATGGATTTTGACCAAACTTTCACAGAAGCTTTGTCATCAAGTGCCCTGGCGCTCACTAAATTCCCATGTTTCTTCCAAGACATCATTCAAGTATTTTTTTAAAATTGTGAACATACTTTTCTTGATATCGCACAAAACACCACACGCCAATATTGTTGACAAAAGAAAATGACAAGAGACGCAAAAATGCAAAAATTAAGCAAAAATAAAGTACTGTTTACCTTTCTAAAATATTTGGGAAAAAAAGGCGAATAGACAACATAAAATTTCTCAATCATTTTTGTTTGAGGAATATTAAAAGAGCCATAATTCCTCCTAAAAGTTCAATTGAAAACAAATGCCCCTTCATGACAAAGCTTCTGTGAAATATTTTGCTGAAAACCTGGTTGCATCGCATTGCGATGTTCCTTGTTTTCCTCTTTGAGAGCATAATAGGACTCTCTTCAAGGCCTATAGCTGTTACTTGGATGTAAAGACAAATTTTGCCCTTTTGTTTACTAAGAAAATTTTACATTATAAGGATTTTTTAATATCAAGCACTAAGAATAGTCGAGCGTTGCTGTCCTACCGACAGCTCTTGTTATGTTGTCTGCTATCCAGATATCATGCTTTAAAGTTCTTTGTTGGCTGTCTGTCTGCCCGTCTGTTTGTCCATCACAGTTTGTCCCGACTGCTCAAAAACTATTGGTGCAAGATATCAATGAAACAGAAATTATCAGTACCAAGTCCAGTTGTGCACATAATCAGCATTTACAGTACATTGATTTTTGTCAAAGTTATGGTTCTTTTGTAATTGTTTTTTTTAAATTTCTGTCAAGACTACTTCTCTGCAATTTGCGTGAAACTTTATTGTTTTGACTTATACCTCAAGTTCTTCCCGATTATTAATTGTTTTTTTTTTCAGTTAAATGATTCTTTTGCTAAGCTATGGCCTGTGAATAAAAAGGAAACATATTGGCTTGTTAATGATTTTTGTGTCTCCTGCTACACAGTTGCTGCAACAAGGTACAAAGTAGCCTCGACATAAACAACAAGCTGGTCAATCACTCTTTAATACATCTGCTTAATTTGCTGTCATCGCCTCAATTGTTGTCACTGGGCACTCTGGTATTTTATTGTAGATCAAATATCAAGTGATTTTTAGGTATCAATTTAGAGATTCATGATCTTGGTTGAAATCTAAATTCGGACTGACGCATATATTGTGTCACTTTAATGCATACTGTATAGGAAAGTCTATTAGATACTTTTGTACAATTTGAGCTGTGTTGGATAATGTTCTGTGTAGAATGTCTTATGTAAAT